TGAATCCGCCGTAAAATCGTTTCAGTGGGAACAATCGCGTTCCGGGCCGGAATTCGAACTGTAACAATGTTCTGTTATCGTATAGGGCATTCGCATTTTCGAAGGGGGAATGGAAAAAACCGTTTGCCGTTCAAATCTGGAGGAATAGGCGGAATGTTCAAAATATAGTTATCGTAATGCGCGCATGATGAAAATATAATATGAATCGGGTGATTTTTTTTTTTTCATTCGAAAATCAATACCGACGTCCGAAAAACGTACGGGATGTGTACAGATAAGCGTATTTCGCGTACACGGGTCGCCGAACGGTACCGCGAGTCTAACGTGTTTCGCGAAGGAAAAAAAAAAAAAAAAAAAAAAAACAAATACCTAACAATAACATTATGCTGATATAGGATGATATCTTATTATTTTTCGCTTTGTCGAAAACGCCAACGTGTTCGAACATTTATTATTAACCTAACGAATGTTCGGACTTTTTTTTTTTTTCCGCCGCGTAAACGCGTATTGCACGCGAATTCCGTAATTTCAGTAAATCTTTCTTTATTCGTGTTTTTTTTTTATTATTTTATCGTTACCGACCGACCAAAAGTATAAAATAATTATCATTTCGACCGGTTCGGAAGACATAATAATAATAATAATAATAATAATATCGTGATTACTTCGTACACGCAGAAGTAGCGCGTGCATCTGCAATCATTATTGTTTGCACCGTACCGTTTTCTTTATGAAATATTTTTGACATTGAATTCCCCGGCGGCGGTGTAAACTAGGACGAATAACTTTGGGCGCGAAATAATTTCGCACATTATTCTTGCACTCGCGTAATGTTCGCAGACGTTTCCGAATCGGATTATGTTTTATTTCCCCCGGGGCGTGGGTATATTTATTGTATACCGAAAAGGTTCAAAACGAGATAAAGAAGAAATAAATCGTAATGTACAAAAGCGCCAAACCCCCTAACTTGCGTGAAACGAACACGTAAAGGAACTCCGAAATAGGGATTTGGTTGAAGTCGTTTTATTGGTTCGACGTTTTTTTTCCGTGCACCGAAATGTCCCGATGCTTTTGCAGATTTAATGTAAATCGCACCCACGGATATATTATAAACAAACTGGACAGCCGACTCTCGTTTATCGTAATAAAGTTGGTCACCATATTCCAAAAGTGCCGACAAACGATCTAATAATAATATGATAAATTAACAACTATTATTCTTAACTACGGAAATTAAAAAAAAAAAAAAAAAAAAAAAACAGTACGAAAGTATTGGAACTAAATTCAATTTATTTTAGTTTCTGAACGGAGTGAGGAATGTGTTAGTATTACAATGACGATTTTTTTTTTCCTGTGGACGAATTTTTTACCAGCAATTTTGCTCCGATTTTCCATTATAGCAGTTTTTCTAAAAGGAAATTACACTGGGGAGGTGCTCGAAGGAGGTTATTTTTGTATTGTCCCAACCGTTTAATCTTCAAGACACAGCGAAAACACTCTCACGGAGCGACATATTGAAAATCGAACATATTTAATCGTTTTTCAAATAAACGGACAGTTGGTCCTATTACAATGAGTAAAATTATGTGTATACTTAAAGCTAATAATAAAAAAAAAAAAAAAATACTAAAAAGATACATTACAAATTATGATATTTATTATATTATAAAATATTACATACTACAAATAATATGACGAAAGTGGAACGAAAAATGTATTAGTAATAATTGTAGAAAATATTATGTCATAATTATTTTATTTTTATAAAAAAATATAACACCTGTATTATACTTATAACCCAATAAGCGTATGGTTTCAGAGTATAAAACAACATGATTGATTTTGATGAAAGAAGCCATCCATTGATGACGCTTATTGCATTAGTAACATTGCATTAGTTACCAGGTATTGAAATAGCTGTTAAGTTTTTTATTGGAGGGTAAGTATGTGAGGCTAGACGGTTTTTTTTTAATATTTTACGAAATCATTTCGCTTTTTCGTATATTGATTTTATTTTCGGATCGCGGTTTTTTTCAAATTATTATGACGGGAGATCGTAATTTTTCGATTATAGCAATATTTCTGTAAGAAAACACAGCGTGTACACATTTATAATAACGCCGTAAATATTTCCCGTTTTACTTGTAATTTTCTTTCGGGGTCTTCCGGATTATATTGAAAATCCACTGGAAAATTCAAAAAATTGACCTTCTTAATGCATTAACTAGATAAAATTGCCTTTCAGAAAAGATGCTCCGAAACGAGACTGCCGGCAGAAAAGTTGCTCACAGACTCGCAAAAAAAAAAAATTACACGTTATAGTAAAACCAATTAAACCCTCCCTACGTTTCGAATCTAAAACAGTACTATAACGGATTATGTAAATTATATGTATTTTTTTTTTTTTTTTAATTTTATATAATATAATAATCGGGCCTTCTGCTTGCGTATTCTTAAACCACTTCGGCAACGCTGCTCTGAATGCTCGGCCCCCGTCGACACCTTCGGGACGACGATCGACGTCTCCTCTTGCCGCTGCCCCTTATTCCCATCCTCCGTGTCGATGACCGCTTACTCCCGGTGCTCGTTCGCCGGCGGTGTCTCAGATCGACCGTGCCGTCGAGGCCTCCTGATACCGCAACCGCTACACCGCGTCCACCGTGTACGTCTCGTTCGCATAGGCGTAGCGTGATGGTTTTCCGCGGGAGGGGGGGGGGGCTATAGCCCTTACACAGTTTTTCACACGGGGCGCATACACAGGTAATGTACATAAATTCTCGCGAGTTGCCTATCCATTGAAAAAATATAGTTATTTAGAGGGATTTCGGGAGTGCAACCGTCTCAAGAACTTTTAACTTGTTCATTTTGTATTTAATTATAATCAACATATTCAGTAAAATAATGCACAAATTTAGTGCATTCACGTAATATTGATAAATATATTTCAATTGAAAATAATTCAGTACAAATAAATATAAATACTTATATTCTGCATGGAGTAGAGCGTTATGAATTTATATGAGGGCGGGGGAGGGGAAAGCCCAGAACGATTCGGGTACACGACATTTTATATTCTAAGAATATAACCAAAAAATAATTGCAAAAGAACGAACTATAAAAAAAGATTAAAAGAGCACATTTTAATATTTAATATAAACAAATACTATTAGCTATTGTTGTTATATTACACTAGTTATCCCGCGCCAATTTTTATGTCATTATTATTTTACCCATATTAATTTTAGATTCCGAGCGTAGCGACGGAGCTATTGGTTTTGCAATGCTGTTTAATTTTTCTTTCTTCTATTTTCTCACTTTTAGTCTGCGGACACGTTTCTCCCTAGTAAACTTGCTCCGATTTTCGCGTGTAGCACTTTTTCTGAAAGTTCAAGTTGTCTAGTTCTCGGTGCGCTCGGTGGGAAAAAAAACGTGGGAAAACGTACGATTTCACGACTTCGTTGTTTTATAAAAACACGAATAAAGTTTTCTACTAGAGAAAATGATTTAATCGAAAAATCACAAGACGCCATTTTTTATTTACTTTCTTACGGTATTATCGCGAAAACTTTTGAGCCTTTAAAGAATTTAATTGTTGAAAGTTTTTTTTCTGTAATTTTTCTGTAATAAATACACGTAAAGACTTAAAACTTGCAAATAATACTTATATTAGACTTATCTAGACGTGGTAAAATTTTCAAAATCATCGGCTTTTTTTTTTCTAAATAATTGTTTTGAAATCAAATTTAAACGAAAATCGCAAAAATTATGTATTACCGAACTGCGCTCGGAATCGTCTTTTGTCAAGCATTGGTTTATCGTTACCTGCAGGTACAAATGAAACAACCTTTATGTATTCTACCTTTCCAACTTCTCACCTACAACAGTGGCCGTTCCCATCCCCAGTATCAGCCCTGTGTTTGGTGATGGCCGTGTCAGAAATGAATGAAAACAAATAGGTGAAAAACGGGTTATCCACCTTCGGCGGACTAAATATGTTTTACTGTGAAATTTCAACAGTGCAAATAATAGTAATAATTATTATTATAATCATGTTCTTGTCCGTAACACCATGGTAACCCTTGAATAAACAAAAATAAATAAATTAGCAGTTAGATAAATCAATTAGATATTCGTACAAAATATACCTAAAAACTCCTATTTAACCCCTTTAGTGATGGAGTTTTCAAAAATTCTTTCTCATTTCACGGCGAAAGTATCAGAGGAACTACTCGTTCGAATTTCAAGTGCTAACGATGAGTAGTTTTTGAGATACAGAGGTCGGTGAGTCAGTGGTAATTGGATTTTATATACATCTGTATAGATTACACATTATATTTGAGTTGAATATAAAATAAATGAAAATTATTAGTAGGAAATTGCTATAATATCAAGTTTAAACGCCTAAATTTTGGGGCAAATATATTAAGAACATCTTCTGAATCAATAATATAAACCAAGTCCCTTTCGATAAGAGTTGGTCTAAAGGTACTAATCTAACGTTGTTTTAAAGAAAAACGAATGAGTGATGAGATTTCGCTACAATAATAATGTATTTTGCGATAAGGTATGTTGCGTTTCTCGTGCGACAATCCCGGTTTAGTAAATTTGGTTAACCTTGTGACCGCTGCTCTTGTCCTGCACCCGAAGCCGGGCGCACCGGTCTCACAAACAGGATTCAAACAGATTCGACGTTCAAATTGAACAATTTATTCGTTGGCAATTTATTTGTTTTCGCGCTAACGAAACAATTTAAACGTGTTGTAAATCGGTGTTTACGGACGAGAAAATCGAATTGTTTTTCTCGAGGTTACGCGTTGCCTTGGCGATCTTTCGGACGAAAACACGTTTCTGTTATTACTTTCGGCCGTGTTTACGGAATCGACGCGAACAAAGTTTGTATGCGGAAACGGATAACGGCCGCGTGAAACCAGTGCATGGCATCCGAGACACGGGGGGGGGGTTGTTTTTTTTTTCGTCTAAAACTCATTTCCGTTGGGAACATGACGTCGTCGACCGTCGATTTTCGCCGGGGACGTCTGCCACGGTGGCCGGGAACGTCGAGGCGGTCGCCGATGCTCAGCGCGCTCTTACTGCTCTCCGTGACGTCACCGACCCGCCAGCTGCCGGCCCAGCTCAGCGTTCGGATGTGCGCCGACGGTAATCCCGGGGACGGGCGCGGAGATCGTGACGTTTGCGAGACGAACGGTTGCGTGCAGTCCGCGGCGTCCGTGTTGGCCAACATGGACGACACGGTAGGGCCGTGCGACGATTTTTACCGGTTCGCGTGCGGCAAGTTCACCAGGGACGCGCACATCGACGACGACCAGACGTCGCGGACCACGTACTCGGCGGTCAACGACAAAATCGTGGAAAAGTTGCACCGGCTGCTAGAGTCGCCGCGGTGCGGACAGGAGCCGCGGCACGTGGCGCTCGTCAAACGGCTGTACGGCATGTGCATGGACGTGCGCAGGCTGAACGAGAGGGGCGTCGGCCCGCTGCTGGACCTGATCGCCGGTGTCGGCGGCTGGCCGCTACTGAACGGCGACCTGTGGAACGGCGACGGGTTCCGGTGGACCGACACCGTCTACAGGTTCCGCGAGCTGGGCCTGGGCGTCGACTACTTCGTCGAACTGTCCGTCAAGGTGGACCGCATGCACACGTCCGAGTACATCGTCGAACTGGACCACGCGGTCCCGTCGTTCAGCCCGCTGTACCTGAGGCGCGGGCTCGGTGACAAGAAGGTGAACAGCTACTACCGGTACATGGTGAACGTGGCGGTCGCGCTGGGCGCCAACAGGACCCGGGCCGAAGCCGAGCTGCGGCGGTCGCTCGAGTTCGAGGTCTGTCTGGCCAGGATATCGCAGGTACGCGAACCGCGGGTCACAACGACGCTTTTTTTTTTCGCCGAACCTATAACACCGCGTACCGCCGTTAAAAAACGGAAAAAAAAAGAAAAAGGTCCGTAACCGTACCCTTTCCCTCTCCCCCACCCCACGGGGAAGCGCGTTCGGACCGGCAACGTTATTCGGGGCCCGTTCCGACTAAGATTTGTTCGGACCCGTTCGGACCGATTTCACACTCGTAAATGATGCACGCAAAGCGTTCTATTAAAGCTTGCACGTCAAACCGCGGCCAATGATTCGTAAAAACCGAGTTTCGACATTTCGGTTTCGCGTGAAATATCTGCGTGCCGATTCGATTGTTAAAATGACCTTAAGTCCGCAGTTACATTAAATAAGAGGCGTGTTCAAAGAGATCTCGCAGGACGGTTTGAATTGCGCGCCGACGGAGCGTCCGAGAGCGGCAGTACTGAAATCACTGGTATCTGTGATTTCTCATCGGGATACGTCTGTGTTTGCCGATTCTCTGCGACTTTCTCGGTTTCGATATGACCGACGTTTTTGCAAATTACGTTTTTCGTATCTGACGATTTTCACAGTGGATACTAAATAACAACTTGACAAGCTTTTGGGGGGGTGGGAGAAATTCTCTTTCATTCTGATGATTGTATAATGATACAGATTATGATCATTATTATTGTGATAAGGCGTCAAAAAGTTTTGATTGTCATTTATCATGCCGAAATGTTCCCGACCTTCCCTGAAATTATTGTTATTGTTTATGATCCACCGCATTCTCGAGACAGACTTACACACGGCGCACGCGCAATTGTTTAGTTACGATTTGTCAGCGTAAGCCATGTGAAACAACGTCGCGTTCCTCTAACCGACCGAGATTATGTTAACGAAACGGAATGAAAAATCCCCTCCGATCGACTAGCAACTCGCCTCTTCCCGAAAACCACTTCTTTTGAATAAATAACGAAACCGCCGTAATACGAAAAAAACGTTTTACGAAAACAGCGATGATGCCGAAACAACGAAGGCCGTAGACAAAATACACAAGTAGATGTGCTCAGAAGAAACCACGGAATATCAAAATAGTGATATCAAAACCTACTGCACTTGGACGTACCGTTGGCGCGCAGTTCCGAACAGCCCTGCGAGTTCTTGAACACGCCTCGTATACACGCAATACACGTGTAGTGTTTTGTAGTTCTGCGTAGACAGTATGGTTAGGTTGGGTTATTTATTTCAAATGAACAATAATCACTTGCGTGTTTTCATCTTTAAACAAGCCGTGCAATTAACGAATTAAATTTGCACCGAATTTTATTTCCCGAAGTAATTTTACAATCAATTATCACGCAAGATATGGATGATATTCAATATCGGTAAAAACAAGGAGCAGCATTTTTAACCATGCCAAAGACAGTCCTAAGCCTGTTAAAATGGGAAGGAAAATGCTGGTCCAAACGCGCTGTTTAAAACTAATATTTTCTAGCCCAAACGGGCCTTTGCAGATCGGTTCGAACGGGTCCTGTCCTTTACACCGGTCCTGTACCGTACGGCGGCATGGTAAACGGACATTTTTCGTACGGCAGCCCGTCGTTTGATTTGCGTGCCGCGGATACTTTGTGCGGAATAGACAGGTCTATCGCAAGTAATTATCATTTATCCGCCGTCGACAAAATCCTAAAAGCTCCACTTATAGACCAATAGACTTATAGACTTATAGGCCTTATAGACTGATAGACAGGAACCAATCCGTGTATTGTGAACTGCCGTCAAACGTAAGAGAGCGATGCAGCGAACCTCGACGTTGAGTGCAACCACCTAGTACGGTTATTATTGTGTAAAATAATATCGTATCGGTAAATAATGGTATCACTTCTAAATACTCTTCCCGCAACATCGGGCGTCCCCCAAGATGGCCTCTATTCCCTTTGCTTGTCTCCTTGTTTATTAATAGTATCAACCAAGCTTTAAAACAGGTACATTTTTTAGCGTTTGCAGATGATGTAAAATTGTTCAATCGAGCCAACTCGGTGAATGAATTGTGAAAATGAAAAATTTCTTTTGTAAATTAACAACTTTTCTACCAAATATCTTGCTCCAGTTATCAACTTTAGAAGCGATGGTTTCTAGTAAAAATATGTTCGTCTCGTTGGTGCGATAAGGAGGTTATTTTTTGATTTTCTTTATAGTATTCTTAATCATGAGGAAACCCCTAAAAAAAACGCCGGGAAAACTTGTAACGGTTAAATTTACTGCTTCTGTTTAATTCTATTTTGTTTAGTCAGTGAAAAATAATCGTAGAGGTCAGAAATTCCACCAAATACTTTTATAAGTATAGTCTCTTACGTACAGCTCTTTCCAGACACGGTACCTTGTGTCCTCCACTACGTCCCATGCGTGCCACTTCAAACAAACAGTAAAGGTACGCCAAAATTACTAGGAGTACTCCTCCCCCTGCGTCCCCCCGGAATTCGAGCACTGTTCTTGGCCCGATTACTGCTACGGAAAACTTATTCGCCGTACTTAATATTCGATATCTCGTTTAATGTTCCAGTCTGGGTACTCACGCCACCCTATTATTTTTTCGTTTCCTATTTCCTCAACTAAATTGGGTCGTAATGAGACACTACGCCGGCGCATGTATTCGGCGAATCGAGATCCTTCTTTCTTGTTTTAGTAATACTTAGAATAACCAAAAATGTATTGTTTTAAATGTGAAAACTGTAAGTTGGACGAAAGCCCGTGTTATGTTATAAAATAATCACATTGCACGAGAGTTCACTTACGTCTAATAAATTGAATTTCGTCTACGGTTTCGATATTTTCCATATTAGAGTAATCGTATAACACTGCAAACATATTTCGATTAGTTCTGATAACCGGTACAAGTCACGCACATTTTTTTTTTTTTTTTGGTGGAGTATTTTTTCGGGTTCTAAAGGGCATTAAGTTCCTGGCCGTACTCAAATCTCAAAAGCCCGACGATAATAGAACACGACGGTTTCGTTATCGTAGGTCAGTCGCTGCAAAAGCGCTCTCTGTGTTCGACCGCGGATCGTACAACTCGTCTATCAGTATACAAGGGTCCAATAGCGGGAAATCCCCCGGCCCTGTTTAATATCATAATATACACATCGCACTAACCACGGACTAAGATATACAGGACTGGACACGGATAGGCAGGATGGTGTGAGGCGGTTGGCTACGGATTGAGCGGGCGGTGCCCAGGGGTTTTTGTTTTATCTTATCGACACTAGCGCCGAAGTGGCCTGTATCCGCGCAATACAGCAACCAATGTACCAATATTAAACATGCGTTACACAACGGTCGTTTTGTGTGAATCGTTTTATTGTTTGCGTAAAGAAAAAAAATAAGTTGTCAAAACCATAACAGAGAACGGAAAAAAAAGAGAAAGTCTTTTTGGTACAGAATTGTTTGTCGAGTTCGTTATTTTGGAAGAGAGCAGCTGTACGTTACCCTAGGATCCCCGTTAGGCCCGACCTTCACGTATCGTTGTTAACGATGTTCACGATCGAGAGGTTCACAGAACGTGCCCGGGCCCACGGCACCCACGCAATATTATTGTCCGGTAGACCGCGGCGTCGTCGTCAGTGTCGATAAGATCGGAAATATTATTTCCCGTCCGCTGTTCCCGCTGCGCGCCGTTCCGACGGACGCGGCGAAACGTTTGTCGGTGTCCGGTCCTGTACACCGTGTGGGCCCGCGCAGCTACCATGACGATTCCGCATGCGGCCCAATGCGGCCGCGTTAACGGGCCCGGGCGCGCATCGAGACGCGGTCCGGCGCGGGGCGGTTTAGGGCTTCCGGCGCGTTGAAGCGCAGTGTCCCGGGCGTCTTTGTGCACAGCCGGTCGTAGGGCGCGCACGCTTAATGGGAAACGGACGGACCCTGTCACCGTCGCGTTCGCTAACGGCACGAAATAAATCTACGCGGAGAAAAGCAAATGTCACGGGCGAAGGTCCGCGCAATCGGCGTGGCTAGTGTCGCGCAGCGTGATATTGAAATAAAACAATACGAAAACTGCGCGACGCGTTCGCGGCAATCCGCGTCGCAGACGTGATGCGGTGAAGCGGTTTCGCGCGGGCGTCGGGACTTCTCCGCCCTGCCCTGTCTACCCCAACCTCCCCCCCCACCACCACCGCCACCGAAAATACGCTACGGCGGTACCGATCGCAGAAGAAGGCCGCGTCGCGCTGCCCTCCCCGCGTCTCGATGCGCGCCCGGCCTAACCGGCGCGGTCCGCGCGCGCGTTTCAGTTTCAGCCCATCGAGTACACGACGGTGCGCGAGCTGTGCGCCCGGTATCCGGGCGTGCCGTGGTACGAGTACATCAACCGGCTGATGTGCGGCGGCGGCGGCCGGACGTGCGTCCGGTACCGGCAGCGCGTCATCGTCAACATGCCCGGCTACCTGTCGGGGCTGGCGGCCGCGCTCGCGTCCACGGACCGGCGGGTGCTGGCCAATTACATGGTGTGGCGGGCCGTCGCGTCCTGCGTGCCGTTCACCGACCGCCGGCTGCGGGACCTGCAGCAGACGCTGCACGCGGAACTGTACGGCCAGCCGACCCGGCAACCGCGGTGGGCCGAGTGCGTGGACGTCGTCTCGGCCGGCCTGTACCTGGCCGTCGGGCGCCTGTACGTGACGCGGTATTTCGACGGGCGCACCAAGAACGCCACCGCGGACATGGTCAAGAAGATCCGGCGGGAAATGCACGACGCGCTGACGGATTCCGGTACGGCGTTTTTTTAAAAAAAAAAAAAAAAACCAAAAATAAAAAACGGAATAACGCGCGCGGACGAAAGTATTAGCCGTTTCGTTATTAAAAGGGGAGTGGAGGCAACCGCGGACAGTCGCTGCAACGGCGTTCGTACCGTTATCTGCAATCGACTTTTCCGCCCGCAAAGCTCGTTCCGATTGCCGGGCGTGGCGCCTTTTCCGAAATCCCGCCGACTTCGGGTAGGTCGCATGTCGATTTTCCAGATGGTTTCCGTGACAGCCGGGTCCGGTTCAAATTAGACCGTTCGGGTCCGGGGTCATGTATTTTTCGAATTCCAAATGCACGTAACGCCAGCAAGAACAGACGAGGTTAGGTCCGTTAGGCGTAACGGTCGTATGTGACAACCGACGGCAAGAGAAAATTTGACGTGATACCCGATGTACCGCAAACCGTTTCTTTTTTTTGTTTTCCGTCCTCGATCTCCGTTTTATCGTCAAGTGCAATATCCGAATCTACCGTAGAAAAATTACGAATCGCTAGGGGCGTGTCTTCAGCGACCCTCAAGTTTAAAAATTACCGCCCTTAAAAAACCCGTTCAACTTTTTCACAATAACGAATTTACGTCTGTATTCCGCGATCGCGTGATAAACGGTCGCCTGTTGCGAGCGTCGTATAAATGGGCATGCGGTTGTGCGGAGGGAGGGGCGTATCCCTCGACGGGCCGCCGGTGTGTTCGTCGATTGAGTCGGCGGTCCGGTCCGGCGCCTGCGGGTCTGCGGATTTGCGGTTCGGCGTTTGCGGGCCCGGACCGCGCGGACCCGCGGCCCGGGAATGGGTAGACGACAGTCGCGTGAAAAATTATGGCCCGCAAACACGTTTCGCACGGACGAAACGCGCGTCGGCCGACTCGAAAAACACCGTAATAAGCACCACGCGCGCGCGCGCCGCCGGGTTTTCGCAGATTGGATGGATTCGGCGACGAAAAAGTACGCGCTGGACAAAGCGGAAGCCATCGAGGAATTCGTGGCGTATCCGGACGAGTTGCTGGACGTGCGCATGGTCGACGGCTATTACTCTTCGCTGCGCCTGGACGACGGCGACTACTTGGGAACCATGTTGCGCTTGTCCCGGTTCGAGTACGACAAGTACTTCGAGAGACTGCACGTGCCCGTGAACAAATCCGATTGGGTGACGCACGGCAGAGCGGTCGTGCTAAACGCGTTCTACAACATCGTCGAGAACAGCATACAGTTCCCGGCGGGTAAGTCCACCGGCGCGGCGCCTCCCCGCCGACCGGTCGACCGCAGCGCGCAATATTCCCCGGATCAATAATAACAACGATAACAATGACGTCCGTCGGCAGGCATACTGCAAGGCATGTTTTTCTCGGCGGACCGGCCCAATTACATGAACTTCGGCAGCATCGGCTACGTGATCGGGCACGAGATCACGCACGGGTTCGACGACAAGGGCCGCATGTACGACAAGACGGGCAGCATGCGGAACTGGTGGCGCCGCGAGACCAGCAAAAGGTTCACGGAACGCGCGCTGTGCATGGTCCGCCAGTACAACGGGTTCGAGATGGCCGGCCAGAACGTCAACGGCATGCAAACGCTCGACGAGAACATCGCGGACAACGGGGGCGTCATGCTGGCGTACCGCGCGTACAGCCGGTGGTCGGCCGCGTGCGCCGGCGGCCCGGAGCCGCGTCTGCCCGGCCTGGACCGGTACACGCCGCGGCAGATGTTCTGGATCAGCTCCGCGAACGTCTGGTGTTCCGTGTACCGGCCCGAGGCGATCCGCAAATTCCTGCAGACGAACCAACACTCGCCCGGCCGGTTCCGGGTCATCGGGTCGTTTCAAAACCAACGGGAGTTCGCCGAGGATTTCCGGTGTCCGGTCGGGTCCTACATGAACCCCGCGAAGAAGTGCAAGGTCTGGTAGGGGCGGCGCGACAATCGCCGGCACCCGCGTCCGGTATCGTTTTTACCGCACGCGAATATTGCCGTTTCCGTTGTTTATCGTTAACCGTTTGTCTGTTTCGGCGTGCGTTTCCAAATAAAATACTTTTTGCGCCCGGACGTAATGCGAATCGTTTGAATCAATTTGATCAATTTGGTCTGAACGGACCGCGTTCAGACTCGGCGACCGAGGGACCGGTTCGTTCTACAGCTCGTCCGACACGTTTCCGTCTTCCGTCTTTTGAACCGGTGAACCGACCGCGTCACCACGAGCCGCGACCCACGGAACTACACGGCCGCAGCACGACCGAACACCCGATGGGACGACCGTAGACGAATGCGCTCGATTCGTAAACGAATTCTGAACATTTCCGTCTACGCGTATATTTCCGTTAGGCTATATTTCCGTTAGGCACACACAGAGTTGGTTTGTTTGGCACATATCGAGTTGGGCACATAT